GGGAGTGTGCCCAAGAACATGAATAGGATTGGCAGACAATGTTTCTACCAGTGTATTTGTATATTCTGTAAGAATTCCCAGATATATGGTAGAGATGACAAGGGGCAAGGTTGTAGTCATTTCTTGGCCACAGTGAGCTACCCAGAAGGAGCGAGTAGTTGGAACTATGGGCTTGGGACCATAGTTGCAGGGGACATCAAGCTCAATTGGCATAATACACTACAGAAAAACATTGTTCTACATCCTACTTTGGCAAGTAGTGACTGGGGTCTTAATAGCTTGCAAGTGGCCACCTAGATGCAATGATGGGTCTCCCCTCATCTAGAACAAAGAAGAATGAAGAAAACTAAAGACACATGGAAACAATTAGTCCAAGCAACTGGTACACCATGCGATCCTCAGCCTATATGACTATAAGACCAGAAGAACTAGATGGTGCCCGGCTACCACTGTGATGAAAAGAGCAGTCAACCACTCAGAGGGGATCCCTGTAGGAGATCCTGGATAGACTGGGAGAACAATGTGGAAAAAACTCAAAATCATAAAAAGAAAGAAAGAAAAAAAAAGGACCAGTTTTGCTGGTCTGATAGAGCCTGAGGCTATGGCCCCTAGTTGCCCTTTAGGTCTGGAATTGAACCCACTCCTGTGGCTCCAGATAAACAAAAGACAGGCATGTGAACTGAACATTTACAATAGGTAGATACACTCCTTGGAGAGAACAATCATGGGAGAACAGAAGGGCTGTGTATGTACAGGGAGACAGCTCTGGGGGCAGGAGTGCATGGGAAGGAAGGACATGGGGAAGAGGTAAATATGCGGAGGAAGCGAGAGGGGAGCGTTGCATTGTGGTGAATTGGAGTCAATGTCATGAGACAAAGTATATGTGAGGTGCTCTATGGAAAGTGAATTTGCTCTGTAAACTTTCACCCAAATCACAATTTAAAAAAAGGTCACTGAACTGCATACTTAAAAATGATTACAACAGAAAACTTTGTATTATATGTATTTTACTGCAGTAAAATGAAAAAGAAACCATGTGCAATAGGATTTTAGGGATTTAGAGAAGATGAGAATGCTAGGAAGGAATACTCTCAAATTTATTCTATGAAGCAAACATGATCTTGTACCAAAACCAGGCAAAGATATCACTAAAAAAAGAAAATTATACATGAACACCCCTCATGAACATAGATGCAAAAATTCTCAACAAAATTCTAGCCAAACCTTAACCCCAGCTGTCTTATGGGTAGGCAGGAACTAGTTCTGGGACCAGGAACCTGGCTCCCAACTGCTTTTTGG